AATCTGATAACTTGCAAAGTGTATTGAAAGATGCTGGATATTTTATAAAAAAAAAAAAAAAAAAAAAAAAAATCAAAACCAGATCTCAATGTTGAAAAGTAAAAAAAAAGATAAATAATTTGAGATACATTTGCATTTACATGGTGACCTGCCAGACAAGTAACTCCAGGCTAGTCCTCCCAGCCTTTAACAAAAGGCATCTCTGCCAGTACATTTTCCTTTCCCTCGAGCTACTCCTTAGACCCCAGAGTTCTGCTATTTTTCCCCTCTCCTCCTCAGCACCTAATGAGCAGAAGGGTCCTGAAAACAGAGGTGTCAAAGAGCCTGATGCTGCCTAATGTCCTCCCTATGGGCTATAATCACTGTCCCTACCACCTGATGCACCTTACCTGTTGGGAGCCAATACCACCAAAATTCATCTGCCAAAGAAATGGAGGACAGCTGCACTACAGGATTGACCCTCGGCATTAACACTGAAGGTTTTGAATGCCACATTTTACCATGAGTTTGATGCCAAGCATGTTCTCGGTGGTCTCCTACCACCACGTGTCCATACGACAGTGTTTTCATTGGCATTACGCAGCTGGGGTACAGCTAGTAACAAGCAACTTTCTTTTGTCGCCTATGCATGAAACAAAACAAAACAAAACAAAACTGCAGCAGTGCACCACCATAAGGGAATTCCAGAGTAAGATGAAACAGAGAGGAACGGGACAGAGATTAGAAAGCGGGGCGTGGAGAGGCAGTTCCTACGCTCTGAAGAAGTGTTATAATGACATTGAACACCGGGGGGCAACCAAGCACCCAAACTTCGGGGAGGAAAATACTCCATCCTCAGAAGACAGCAGCCCCATTCCCTCTCCTTGGAGCAGACATAGCCTTTGATGATTATCCTTTCAAAAAACAGTCTGTTTTTCAGACAAGATCACGGATCTCTCTCCTTGCAAATAACAGTCAGGATCTGCTTATCTCAGTCGACTCTGCAATCCCGAGTGGAAACCTCTGTATTTTGTTTTCTCACTACTGCAAGTACTTACCTGGAACAACACAAGGCAGTGCTCTCTGGTTTGATATCTCTGCATAAAGTGAAGTCATACAGAGGTAAAAATCTTTAATACATAGGGAGGTAAAAAGTTAATTTCCAAGAAGAAACTTTAGCAAATACAACCAATTAACACAGCTTGCATACCTAAAGCAGCAATGTATGAAACTGAATACACCAGAGAAGGCAACAGAATTACAAATCGCTTTTTGCAGTTCAGTCTTGGACAAGTGGCCCCAAACATTTGCTGCTTAAATAAAAAAAAGAAGCAGCAGTTTCAGAATGAGAAATGAATGCTGAAAACTTAGAGCCGAAAGATTTGTTTTATAGATAATTTTTTGTAACTTTATCACGCCAAAAAATAATTTGAAGACAATTTACAGCAGATACTTCCACCCTCTCCCTCCATGAAGCAATCCCTCTACAGTTCAGAAATACCAAATGCCATCATTGCCACATCTCCTGCCTACACCATTCTCCCTAACTTTTGACATGCTGCAGGGACTGGCACCGATTCATGGGTACCAATGCTAAGGCTGTGAGTTCTGCCAAGGCAAAGATGTTTATGATCCATGTAGATTTATGATTGTGTAGTTTATCTGCAAGAAAAGTGTCTCTCACAAACCACCCAAGTTGCTTGTTTTCAAGGATGTAAAATAAACTTAATAAGATGACCGTGAAAGACAGAAAGAACATTGAAAAAAAAAAAAAAACAAACAAACCAACAATTGTGATGCTAGTCAAACTGCAAGTCCTCTAAACAAGAGAATCAAAACTTCCTTGAATGATTTGCTTGCATGACATGCCTGCTTGTTGAATGGGAATAAGTGTCCAGCATTTGTAAGGGAAAGAAAAAGGAACGTGTCATGAAGATAAGATGTCAGACTTGTTTCCTGCCTCACTTGCATTCAGCCATGACTAGTTCTGTTAAAGGAGGAGGGAAGAAGGGTTGGTCATCTTAAGACATCTCATATTATTTGCATAAACATGGTATAGAGAAGATCTTTATTTATTTGATTTTATGTATATGGAAATAAAACCAGGTAAAAAAGATCAGACCCAGGGTACATCTAACTTGAAACTCACGTCATTGCAATAAAAGCCAATATTAAGTACAATAACTGATCATATTGATAACTCAAGTTCTGAACTAATGTAAAGGACAGAAAAGGTGGAATTTCTTAAATTAGTAGCACCACAGTACAGTTTTTCAATGCCTTTAACATTTTTAACATTTCAGCATTTCTAGTGCTGAAAGAAATACTTATTTTATCCATTCTCATGAGTTAGTAACATTCTAGAATGTTTTCAGTAACACCTGAAATACATTTTCAACTTCAGAAAGAGCACCATAATAACTTTTCTATTCTAAATGCTGTTTTCACATTGTACATAGCTTTTTGTCTGCTTGCTATTTTTGACGAAGACCCATTAAGAAAGATGTTATTTTGAAGTCTTAGAAACAAGTACATAATGTTTTTATGAAGAGGTTTCCAAAGAAAAACTGACTCTATTCTGTTCTGTGTTCTGTAGCATGCAGTGAATTTTAAAAGGAAAGATCAGGGGAAAGATGATAGCCTGAGTTCCTGAAACAGTTTTCTCTGAATAAATTTGTAAAAAATTGTAAAAGCATTGATATATATGATGGTCACATCTCTCTTCTCTCTGCAGGTTCACAATTGTTGTTATGTTGCTACAGACCTACAGTTACTCCATGGGCCTGAATCAATGCCAGCTTTCTCTTTGTGTAACAAGCAGAGATAGCAGTGACCATTCAAATTTTCATGTTCAGATGGCATCAAACCTCAAAGAAAATATTGACAAAGACATAGGTAAACATTGCAAAGTTCCTTTCCCAGCCTCACAATGGAATCAGATTTATGTCTTCAGCTCCTAGAGCACCAGTTTACATGGTGCTTCAAGTCCCGCAGTCCTATAAAATCAGATCACTTCTTTTATGTGTCTCTTTTATGTGGATTTTACGTGTCCACTGAAGCCTCACTCTTCCCTTAAAAATTCATCCTCTCAGGAGATACTGAATGAATGGAAGTTAGTGAGTTAACAATGGCATAAAGCAAATTGAGAAGACAACCATCCTTAATTTTCTGGTCTCCTGTTTGTCCCAGTCGAGACCCCTGTGCTCCAGCCACCTCAGCACATACAAAGTGTTTCAAGCACAGTCTGAGGGCTCTTCCAACCTTTTATCTTCCATGGGTGTGACATGAGGGGGATTCATGAAGAGGCACAAAATTAGAGAAACCATAAAATGTGGCTTTTTCATGAGGCAGGATGTGAAGAAAGGTAAGGTTTGCCATGGACTGAGCCCTATTTTGGGCCTACAGTGGAGACACAATCATCAACAAGAAAAGGCAGCTGAGGCTACCGTGGGCTTGTTATAATTAATAAGAGTTTGCCTAAAGGAAAATTTGTTTTCCTGAGAATAAATTACCTTACACTTGAAAACATAGCAAAAGGATGAATTTGGTGCACCTCTGCAGAGGCACCTTACGCTCAAATCTAACAATTTACTTGTTGCATTGTCCATTCGTATCATGCAGAGCTTCTAAGAGCTGATCAGCTCAACAGTGCACTTGACTGAACAGTGTTGCTTATACAGGTGCAATATTAAAAAACCAAACCAAAACAAAAAACTCCCAAACAAAACCCAAACACCATACCTGGCAACAGTCTCTCTGTGCCACTGTTCATTACCAATATTGCATTAGCAGATGGCTTAATGTAGCTTAGCATGTAACATAGCAAATGGATATGACAGTTTTCAGGATACAGCAAGCATAGCGTAAATACAGTGTACCACTTTCACAAACACAGGATTTTCAAAATTCTGGCAATATTATAAAAATAAGAATGAAGCTTCATAAGCAATTAAATACAAATAACTGGACTTAAGTATTTACTGTACAATAATTCCTGATAGTGCTTTGCAGAACTGAATTTATTTACAATATTCTGTAAAGAGCAAACGCCATTTCACTCAAAGCTACATGCATGACAGAAAATAGAGAAAACAGAGGTGCTACTTTAAGGTAAATATTGTCATATCCAATGTCAAGATTTAAGCGGCTCACAACCATTAATAAAATTCTTATTTTGGCCAAGGTTATTTTTTCAATTACAGTATCAATGTCAAGAGGCCAGTCTTTTTAAGAAGGAAGAAATGGCAGCTGTTCCCCATAGATAGATTGTTTAGGTGCCTACACATGGATTTGCAGAGCAGCCTTAGACAGACTTTCATGACAAGCTCAATTAGTACTTTCATTTATACAGAAGCATCTAGTATAAAAGAATTACTTTACAGTTATGCTTTTAAACAATAGGCTTCAATCTTTTTTATATTCCAATAATGTTTCACACCCAAATCTGCTTTTGACAGAAGTTGGGAATTAATTTATCCCCTTTAGATTAATAGCAGTGCTATTAATCATAGCACAATTGCACTCTGAATGGCCTCTGACACCTCTTTGATCCTCCTGCAGCTTTTGTCTACCAGAGGGAATATCCCCAAACTTAAGCTACTTGAAAAACAAGATAAATAATAACTTTCTTCCTAACTCTGTTTTTTTTTACTTCTTCAATTTATCACATATTTCATCTATTATTAACTTCCACAAATTGGTAATGAGTTTTGTAATGACTCCTCAGGTAGGGCATTGAGATACCACAGGCATACACAC